ATAGCTTTAGTGTTCTATTTTAATCAGGATAAAGTTATCCTATTTTGATTAGGATAAACTTGTGTTACTTTCTAGATATACATGGTTAAGTTGGAGTATGACCTCCGTTTAATTCCTCATAAAAGTAACGTTCTTCCTTGTGATAAAATAAGTTTAGACTCTGGAGGAACATTGAACATTGAATTTCTACACTTACTTTATTTAGAGGCATTTGAGCCCTGTTAAGAGGAATATAGGAAGGCCAAAGAGAACACTTATAGAAGTTGACTGATACCTTTTAATTGGCAATATTTATAAAAGTTTGATAAATGATAGAGCACAATGGCAATTGTGCAATGCATGTAGCCAACCCCATCTAGTGGGATAAGGCTGCTTGTTGTTGTATTGTATTTAGAGACAGTATTATAATATTTATGTTAATTTTAATTTTGTACTTGTGTAGGCACTTGAGGTTATTGATCTCGGACAAAAGGCCCAGCTTGTCCGTGAGCTGGATGGACATGTTATGAGATGTGTTCGTGACCAAAATGGGAATCATGTAATACAGAAGTGCATTGAATGTATTCCAACAAAAAAAATTAACTTCATAATATCTGCTTTTCGGGGACAAGTCCCCAATCTTTCTACGCATCCTTATGGTTGTCGAGTCATACAGGTAAGATTATTTCATCCCCACCTCCCTCTCCTCCAAGCATGTAAATTGAATTTTGTTCAGTAGCGCATTTATTTCTATAATGATGTTTCTTGTAGAGAGTTCTAGAGCATTGTACAGATGAGGTTCAGTGTCAGTTTATTGTGGATGAAATCTTGGAGTCTGTTTGCGCTCTTGCTCAAGATCAATATGGCAATTACGTCACCCAGGTTGGTGTTTCTCTCTCTTAGTACTGATAACTAATCTTTTGGCTGTGTGCATGGTCGAAACAGAATCAAAGGTGGAAGTAGTCATATGCGTGTCTCTTCTTCCATGTATGCAGTCACTATGCGAATAATTGCATTGAAGATGTTAGAATGTGGTCTTAGCATGTCTTCTTTGCTTCGTTAGATGATGGAAGTGCTATGTTGGTTGCTTCTCAATCTATACATCGTTTTCTCCACTACATATATATGTAACACATGCCTCCGTAATACCAAGGCTTTCCAAATTATTCTGTCCCCCCTTTTTCCCCAATTAATAGCATCAAAGCTTTGGGAAAATAAGAGTAAGCCTTGAGAGTTTTCTAGGCTTGAGCTTTTCCCACATGTCTATCAAAGTGCTGGTCTCCTATCTTTCATGGTTTCATGGCTACCATCTACTGAGCAAGATAGTCAAAGTTGAAAGCTGTCATAGGGGGCCAAACCCTGGAATGGCCTTAAGTCAGAAGTGTTAAAAAGTACACATGAGTGAAGCAAGGCGCTAAAATTTAGGAGGGGGAATGCTAAGATATGCTATATAAATAAAAGTAGATGATAGCAGGTTTGTAACAACGCTTAATGTATGAATTAACTATTCAATTATAATAATCATTAAATGCACCAATGAAGTCCCTAATATTTTTGTTCAAGCTTAATAATCATTTAGTCGCAACTCAAAATACTTGTGCTGGGCTTTTAATGTCATCTCTTCCCTCTCCACCTCACTTTTTTCCCTGTTTCCTGAGGTGCAAGCCTTGTAAGAATTACAAAAGCACCAAAGGTGTTAACATGCGAGTGCCTGGCTAAAGGCTAATTCACTTTTATAGGGCAAGAGTTGAGCTCAGCACCTTTGACAGGGCCAATTTTTTTTTTCCCTATTTTTCTCGTGCTGTATTCAGGCTGCACCTCAACTGTATTTAGCTCCAATTGCTCTTCCTGCTTTTCTTAACTCCTGTAATCCTTTTTTATGATTTATATGTTGCGCACAATGTATTTGTATGCTTTATTGGCTTTTTTTCATGTAAATTTTTATTCCATTTGCTTGGCTGCAATTTGTTTCCTATGTTGTTGCAGCATGTGTTGGAGAGAGGAAGGCCTCAGGAAAGGAGCCAAATTATAAGCAAGCTGTCAGGACATATTGTGCAGTTGAGCCAACATAAGTTTGCATCAAATGTTGTGGAGAAATGTTTGAAGCATGGTGATGCAGCTGAACGGGAGTTGTTGATTACTGAGATTCTTGGGCATGATGATGAAAGTGACAATTTGTTGGTAAGTTTAAATGTACAAGGCTAATTGCACAGTATTAGTCCTTCAGAATATTCAACTATTCCTTAGAAGAAAAGAAATCTGTGCTGATTTGCTCCCTAGGCATTGATAGAGATGCTAATTTTTGCAATTCTTGTAATATTTTTTGATTACTTTTTTCATAACATTTAATTACTTAATGAAGAGTATGATGGTGATATACTGTTGTGGGGGATTTTTGTTTCCTGGAATACTTTTTCTTCCCTTTATATGAGAATATTGACATGTGATTGCTGAAAATTAATACCTACTTGCTTCTTGATCTGGTAAAATGTTTTTGGTTCTCATTAACAAGTCAAGTTATTACATGTTTCTATTGATGTGGAAGTTTTTTATTCATACATCCAGTAGGAAATATAGCTAATATTTCTACAGCCCTCTAAGATATACAACTGCTTTATGATCCTTGAATAGAATTGGATTTAGCACTGGTAATTTTAATAAACTGGTGGGCTGTAATGATGGTCATTTTAGCTGATGCAGCCAGCCACCATTTCATAGTTGTATATACTGATTAAGTGCTGTTGAAGCTGGGCCTAGGGACTATTTACCTGATGGAATATGGTGGCCGGAGTTTTATGAACTGAAATGTAAGGATTGAAGTGGCTGGGGTCTAATTCGGGGAAGCTTTGATCAGTACCATTTTGTTGTTGTTGTCAAGTCCTGTTGTTCATTCGAAAAATTATACTTTGGTCCAGTTTTTGCACTGATCATGCTTTGCAGCAATGCTTATAATAATGGTTAGAAATTTCAGTATTACATGTGACATGAATTATGCTAGCTAATTGGATTAATTTATATGTGGTATTTTACATGTAACTTGCTTACTGAATCTTTATTTTTGTTTCAGATCATGATGAAAGACCAATTTGGAAACTATGTGGTCCAGAAGATAATAGAGATATGTTCTGAAAATCAAAGATCAGTTTTAGTGTCACGTATAAAAGCTCATGCTCATGCTTTGAAGAAATACACTTACGGAAAGCACATTGTGGCTCGAATGGAACAATTGTTTGGAGAAGGTAAGCTTTTGTTGAAAGTACATTCTGGTTCTTTTATATAAAGAAAATGAAATTCTTGTAATTATGTGTAATGAACAAGGGAGGGTCTTGTTTGTGTGTGTTGAAAAACGAAACTGTGTTAAAACAGCTGTACTTCTCATTATAAATTAACTATGCTGAAGGCCATGTATTTGTAATTGGTGCTTTGGGCAAGAGTCATGGATGGCACCAAGACTGACGGCCTTTTTTTAACCCCCATGCTTCAAGTTTGTGAAACTACCATTTTTACTGATTTATTTGATTATGCATGGATTGATTTATTGGCTGAACTGAAGGAATCTTTTCACTTGTTTCAGAATCTTAAGATTCTCTTTACCATAATTACATACCGTTAAATTTCCCACCTGTTCTCTACTCTTCAGAATGACGAGTGTCAGTTGAATTTCTGTGTATTGTCTAGAAACTAGCATTTAAACCATTGTAGGAATAGCCACTTGGGAATTTCATTTAATTCACATCAACTAAAGATGTTAGTAAGATTAACAAGATATGCAGCAACCAAAACACCAAACTTCGAAATCTCTAAATATCGGATCTGTACAATCAGATTTTTAGTCATACACATCATCCTTGAAGTATTGTCTTGCGTGCTTCTTATCCTATACTACTGTTGCATGCAGAGAGTCAGACACTTGAATCATGAAGGCAATATAGGCATGTGATTCTCCTGCAGTGCTGCTGTGGCATGAAATGGCAACAGTTAACTTATATGTTGATCGACAGAGATAGATGAGAAGTATATCTTTGGGCCTGCAACTGAATAAATCATTGCTATTACCTCTGGGGCTTTGTATATGCTCCTCACAGCTTCCCAGTTGATGGCGTCAATTAACACTAGTACACGTAAAATATTGAGACTTCATGTAATTCCAAGTCATCCTGAAACATTGGTTCAAACTATTATTTGAGTATAATTATTTGGCAGGGAAAGCTTCCTGATGTAAAATATACCAGATCTGCTTTGTTAATTGTGTGGTTTTCTTTAAGATACAAGCAAAATATTTAGGATTCTTTGAAGCCCATCTGCTTCCAAATCCTTGCGAGTAGGGGATTCAATTGACTGCGGGAGATTAAGATCTGATGGGTTTGTTTTCGGACAAGGTCCAGAATCTTTTGGTCTGAAGAATTGTAAAATACTTGCTGTATGTATAATGTACGAGGTTTTTTTTTTTTAAAAAAAAAAAAGAAAATAAGAATTATATCCAAAAGGAAAATGAAATAAGTGTATTTTCATTCATTTTTAAGAAAGACACTGCATTAATTGTCATGCTATTCTTGAAAAACTGAACATCTGTCGAAAGGAATCCCTTGAATATTTGCAAGTTCGCATCGGAACGATGAGTCTTTCCGAGCGGCGAGTTTGTTTCCCTTGCTTACATTTGTATGAGTATGGGAACGGAGCTTCAAGGGTAGGAGTAGGACTGATAATTTAACCCCAAATTCTGCTCGCCAGAAAATGTTACCACCTGATAATTTGTTGTGGAAGTTAAAAGCAATTTTTTCTTGTGAACTATACCGTCATGGACAAAATCTATATATCTCAAATATTTTATTTAACATAAAACCTACAGAATTAAGAATAATAAATTGTGTTTATGTGACTCATCTACGTTTGGATAGTATAGCAAGATGATGGTTGAGATTTGAAATAATTATAATTGAAAATTTAAAATTTAGAATTGTAATAAATAAAAATTTGCTTTGGTTCCATACAATTGTATACATCCAAATAATAGACCTGGCTCAAATCCAAATTTCCACTAATCCAAACAGGAATTTCAATTTACATAAAAACAATTTGAGCTTTGATACAGCGGCTATCTAAGGCAACAATATATTTGAGCATTTCACTTCACGGATTACAAAGCATTAGAGGTAGATTAAGAAGACAAGACAATCTTTTACCTGACCCGAAACACACAAAATCTGTCTCCAGATTGGCTATGATGATATAAAAAAAAAAATTAATCCAAATTCACAAAATTGTTCGGAATCCTATGCTCCGATAAAATAATAGTGACGAAGACTTGGTCGGGACTAAATGGCTACATGATATAACCAAGTAAATTCGGAGGCAAAACAAACAGGATCAAAAGCGATCCTTGCGTTTCCGACCTGTGTATTTGGTGTCCGGAGGCACCAAATTTCCTCTTCTTCTCATCTGTTCCTTCTTCCTCAGTATCCATTCCCTTCCCTTCCCACTCTTGTTATGTTTCTGCTTCTTCTTAGGTCTATGCCTATCTGAGATACAGACCTGCCATTTTCACAATTCATTTAAAAAAAAAAAATCAATACTTCAGGTCACAACTAACTAGTCACATATAGCACGAATCAATATGATAAACTTCTCTTATCCTATTTATAGGACAAGCAAAAAATATTTATTTTGATCCTATTTGTAAGGACCCTCCATTATTATTGTATTTATCTTTATCCTTTTGCCCCTATTAACTGCTAGAAAAGTTATTAAATGCTAAAATGTTTTATTTTTAAAGTATATATATTTAATAAATGTAAAGTTGAAAACTCGTTGATTCTTTAGACAGCTAATGAGGTGGAGAGGTTTTCTTTAGTTTCAGTGAAACATGGTGAAGTAACTAATAAATAGGACTGGAGGAAGTAAAAGCTAGACTGCAAGATGCTCTTTTTCTAATTTCAAAGAGTTAAAAAAGAAAGATTTATAAATCTTCATGTGGCACTGGATAAAATTCTAATGGGACAAGTCAAACCGTTTGATTCTCTTCATCTTCACTTTCTTCGTCAGAGCAACTCCCCCCATCTTCACCCTTGCCCTTGGTGACTGACGTGTTTATCGATCGTTGACCACAAGTGAGTACAAGAAATTCTTTTCTCTTCTTTGAACTATCACAAGACAATTGTACACCAGTTAGTGCAACAATGAAAACATGCTCAAAAAGAATATTGGTTTATATGGTATTACAGAAGGGTGGGAAAAAAAAAAAGCCAAAAGAGGAAACAGCTTTACAGTATGTCCACAAAACAAGTATTATGCAATATTTTTCTAGTAGCCTGCTTATACATGATTTAATTTGCTGGTTAAAGACTATCCCAGTAAAAAAAAAAAAAAAAAGGACCAGATTAATGCGCTTGTCAACTCAGTCTTCAAGCTCAAGATGAACATCCAATTTATAATCTTTTTTTTCCACTGAATCTAACCTTGTGTTAAGAAAATATTCCACAGAAAACATCATCATGAACCACAGATAACTAACTAGCCTGTGTATTTCTTTTCTTTTCTTTTTCTTTTTAATTGTTCATAGGTATCTTTCATTAGAGACAATCCCATTCAAGACACAATTAGACGTTAAATATAGACACCTCTCCTAAGGCTGGCTTTGTTTCAGAAAATTAATTCCACATTTAAGAGGAGATAAAGAACAACTTATTGTTATCCTCCTATTGAGACAAATTCTCATTGACCATAAAATATGATTACTTCACAAGGCACAGAAAGATGGAACTATTACCCTAATTAGAGACCAAATGATATAAAACGCAGAAAACGTTTTACTAGAAAATTATTTGTATTAAACAAATACGCATATAATTGTAATGGAATCCTATGTACCTGTGAGGATAATCCACGACTATACCACCAGAAAAACCAGCATGCATTGCGGCATTTAGAATCAATTCACGCTGCTGTAGATTTTCAGGATATAACTGAAACACTGCTCTAGCTCCATTTGTCAAGCATTTGTATAAAGATGTAAAGAAAGCCCTACAAATTCAAAAGAAGATACATGGTTATGTACCATAGACGAACAGTGATAAATTTCACCATAGGCAAGTTTTAGTAGAGTAAAATGCAAAAGAGGAAAAATCAACACCACATGTTAGAATATACATGGAAGCGCTGGAGTATAAAGTTATAAAATTGAAGTACAGTAAATAAGAGCAGGAACATACTTCAATCTTAATTTTGGATTGTGAGAAGACTTATCAGCATTGCATAACCACTGCATCACCAAATAGAAGTATATTAGAGCAAATGAGAAAGTAAATGAGAAACAAGCCCAATCAAGCATGGTAGCAAAGCTTTAGCTTTATTAGTATATATAATTGAAATATAGAAGAGCCATCCACTGGACAGAAGAGCTGCTATCTTTCACTATTCATAACTCGCATCAATTATTTTTCCTCCATAGTCTAAAGAACTTTTTCTCATAATTCTATTTTATCAAGATTGATACAGTACACATCTTGTGGTAATTTAATATAATTTTCTCACCCGCTTCCTTCTGTTAGTTTAGGTATTTGTCATCAAGTTCTCCAAAACTTCTTTAATGGAATCAATCATGTAATATCATTCTATAAATTCAATTAAAATCATATTAAATGTTGTGATTGGAGAACCTAATAACAATCATGTAAAAAATTACACTAAGGTTTTGTTGGTTAGAAAATGCAATCTCATAAACATTAGGTTTACAAAATGAATGTCAGTAAGCAGGCTATCAAATTATTAATAACGTGATAATGGTAGCAAACCTGAACTGCAGAGATGCTAATGGCACCATCAATAACTCCAGGGCGAACCCCTAAACCCTGAAACCATTTCAAAAAGATAAAGAAAAACCAAAAAAGCAAACTTACAGAGCAAGCATCTTGTTTTCCTGGAGAAAGTTATTAGTTTCACATAACTATAGGTTGTCAGAAATCTATGATCACAAGAAGCAGAATACAAAAGAACAAATGAAACAGATGTAAGTTCCGCAGAACCATCCAGTAATAGATAGAAAAGAAATCAAATATCAATGCAGAATGCTCATAAAGTAATAGACAGTCTCCAATTTGGTAAATACCTGACCCATATCACCAAGTAAAAGGTCTCCCTCAGCTTCACGCTCCAATGCAATGTCTAGACTTAACCAAAAATCATAAATTAAAATTTAATAAATAAATAAACAATTGAAGGGATCTTTGGATGGCAAGTGTTATGGTTCCCAATATAAAATAATCGACTCACTAAGCATCGATGGTGAAATGTCCAGACCAATCCAGTGGTGTCCGTTCTCTGAAAGTGTCTCTCCACTAAGTCCTGATCCACAACCTACAGAAAGCCATGGCAATACAATCATACATTTGAGTTCAGCTATATTACAAATGAAAGGATTAAAAAAAAATGCTTGTAAAACCAGACTCTGTGGATTAAATATGAAATAGTGAAATGTCAGAGAAGTCCTAATCCCACAATCTAAGAAAGTAAACTCAAGTAATGCCTTGAAATCTTCCAATCATCCAAGCATACACAAGGTAATGAATAACACATCATATATGTAAGTAAGAATGTGGTATTCAACCCTCAAGGAACAATTTAACTGGTTAACCTATAAAAGAATTGGACAAAAGAATTGGTCATAATAAATCTACCACAATTATCAGCCATAGTGCCTGGAAACGTTGCAGTGCAACTTACAATCTCATGTAAAAAGGGTAATGCCATGGCAAGAGAACAACAATTCGATACCCAGGACTGCAAAGAGTTTCAAGCCTAGAACGTTATGAGTATTAGATTATGTTTAGATGAAATTATTATGAACTGTGAATACGCTAACATGTATAATAGGAAAGAAAAAAAAAACAAGAAGCTACATTTACCTAAGTATGGAAGTCGCAGAAGAGAAAATGAGAATTTTTACCAATGTCTAGGAGTAACTTGGGAATGCCGTCATCGGGCAAGGCAAGTAGCTCCAGAGCTCTTTCAGAAAGTATCGCCTTTAAACACGCGAAAGAGGATCATCAAGAATTTCGAAATGGAAAACATAACACTCAAATTATCGCTTACAAATTCAACAAATAGAGAAAGAGCATCAGGATTCTAAGAACAAAAAGGAGAAGCACGTATAACGTGATTTTCAAGGGAGAGCACCTGAATTTCAATGATGCGAGAAGAAGATGTGTACTTGCGAGCTTCAGTATCATCGTAGAAAATCTCAGGCGGAGCAAGCAGCTCTGGCCTGGACGCCATCACTGGAAATTCTCTTGCTCTTCACTTGCACTGAGACGATGGTGAAGACTGAACAGAGCGACGCCCAGGTAATGCTGGACTCAGACAACGTGGAGGACGAACCAGTAGAACGAAGAAGGCGCGAGTTAGAGTAAGAAAGGCAGTTAGGGTTTAGAGGGTATTGATTGTTGAGTGGGGTTCCGGCAAAGAACAAAACGAGACGTTTATTGGTTCAAGGAAGGATTTTAATAAAAGAAAGGGATGATATTTATTTGATTCAGGAAGGGAGATTAGAGAAAATAAATATATATAAATAATTTTATTTTTATATAAGTAAAATTGTTTTTTTTTCAATATAGTTATGAATTTTTTAATATATAATTATCTATAGTTCATATATATATATATATATATATTCAATAATAATTTATTCAAAGTTTATAAATCAAAAGTATATAAAGAAATAAGTTTATTAATACAAAATAGAAGAATAACAAAACATGACTAAAAAAATAAAAAAAATAAAAAAGAAGGAAAATAAAAATGACATTCCAAGTTAGGAGAAAAAACATAACTTAAATAGAGGAACATAGAGCAGCAAAGAAGGGGGAATATTTTTTAATTATCATATTATAATAGGGATTTATTAGTCTAATACAATAAAATTATGAAAGATTTTAAACAAAATTCCTCCCTTTTCTTCCATTTTTAAAAATTGAAAGGGAGCAAAATTTCTTTCCTCAAACCAAATATATCCTTAACACGTAATGTGAACGGACATTCATAATATATTCACGCGCATGACAATATACATACATGCATATAAAATTACAAAAAATAAAAATTACACCATACTTTTTTGAAATATGATAATGAGTCCTTCAATATTTTTTTAAATGTGATAATCAGTCCTTCAATACAAAACCACATGACACAACTCCCCTCAAAATTTACAAATGCCTCCTTCCAAAAAAAAGCCTCCATACCTTTTTGAAATATGATAATGAGTCCTTAAATACTTTTACAATTATATAAATAATATTTTATTGCTAATTTATATGATATTTAGTAATAAAATATAAATAAAAAGTTTATTTGCACAAAATTTAGAAATGTAATTTTCATGAAAAAAATTAAAGAATTACTCCATCCTATCCTATTTATAGGATGAAAAAAAATTTAATTTTATTTATAAGTCACATTATTAATTTTTAACATAATTTTCTCTTTCATCTTTCATTAAAGGTACGTTTGTTTCAGCTTATTTTATAAAAAAATTACTTATTTTATTTTTTTAAGAAAATTATTTTATGATTTTTATAATATTTGTTTAAACTTTAAAGAATAATCAAAATCTGTAAAAAAAAAACAGAGAGAGAGAAAGAGAATTTATAATTATTTTAAGAAGCTACTTTGAATAACTTCTAAAATAGATAAGAGAACATGTTTTCAAAATGTAACATCCCTATTTAAATTTTAATAGTTAATTTGAGTTAATAAAAATTTTAAAAAAATATTTAGAGATAAGCAAATTAGTAGAAAATAATTATTAAATCTAACTTAGAATATAATTTTAAATTAATTTTTTAAAAAAAATTAAATTAATTAATTAATAAAAATATATTATTAAATTATTATTATTATTATAAAAAAAAAAGAGAAAAGGTATGAGAAAGAGGAAGGAAAAAAGAAGAAAATGAGAACGGTGGCTTTCACTCATGATTACGTATAAAATAATAAAAAAAAAAGAAGAAGAGAGAGGAAAGAAGAAATAATAAAAAAAATGTGGGACCCACTGAATTTTTATAAAAACTCACCTGTTTCCTTTGTTTCTTCATTCTTTCCTTCGTGCGCGAGCTGAGGTAGAGTGAGCGTGAGTTGCCGGTGCGGGAGATCTGAGTTTTTAAGATAAGAGTTTTTAATAAGATATTAAGGGTGTGATTTTAAATTTTTTAAAACTAAGTAAGTGTTCTAAAAATTTTTTTCTTAGTCATCCTTCCTCTTTAGTTTCTGAATTTGTAGTGGTAGAAAATTTAAGATTTAAAAGAGGGATGAATTCATGTTGAATAAATATAATTTTTGAGGTTATTAGTAGTATAATAAATATTCTAGAGTATAAATTTATTGATGATCTTTGAATTTGTGGCTTATAGATCAAATTTTAGACTAGATTTTTATTAAATCTGAAAATATATATTGATTTATTGAGGTTTAGATGATTATTTGGAAAGAGAAATAAATTTTTATGGCTATAGGATTATGATTCTAAGCTAGAGACTTAATTTTTAATTTTTGGGTATTTTAGGTGCGAATTTATGAAATAAAAAGAAAATTTTGAAAATAGAAATTAGTTTAGAAGTTAATTTTTAGATTATTAATATTTATTGATAATTAAAAGAGGAGTTAAAAATTTTACTTAATAGTATTAACTCTAGATTTATATTAAGATTGAGATTAAGAATTATGTTACATTTTTAATTCTATTATTAGAATTATTTTATTAGTTTCAAAAATTGAAACTAATATTTATAAATAATATGTTATTTGTGATTGATTGGTGAAAATTGTTGTATTGTAAGGAATAATTTATTGCCATTGAAAAAGTCACGAGGTAACCGAGTGAGGGCTACGTCTCGAGGTTAATGGAGGGATATAAGGATGGTTGTTTCTGTGTATTGTAATATTTTTTATATTTTGTTAGAATTATATTATTTTTGATTCCCACTTAGTAAGCACACACTTAACTGTTTGTACACACTATCATAATTTGGTATTGGTTATTAGAACTTTTGAGTCTCATTATGTAGTTAACAATTTTTAGGAGAAGAGCCACGAGTGACACGTGAAGGAGTCCCAGAGGCTTAGTGGCATAGATCCATTGTCTCTTTTGGGTATTTGATTTATGATTTATAATGTGTTATATTGCCAATATTAGGGCTTTTTTTGTTTATTGATAATTATATGAATATATAAATGTAATTATGCCTTTCAAACTATTTATATTTTTGGTACACTTTGGATGACTGTAATTTTAATATTTGGTTTACTTTGAATTTGTTAAAATGGCATGATTATGAGGCCAAATAATTGGCTTGTTTGAAAATTAACTAAATTATTTATTTTACTTGTTGGGAGTATAAGGATGAACAAATGTGATTTAGTTTATTTGTTAGGAGTATAAGGATGGACAAATGTGATTTAGCCTAATGGCATGTGGGAGGTAAAATTTAACTGAAATGTTATATTGTGCAAGTTGAAGCCAATTATAAAATATTTTTATATTAAAATTATTGATATAAAAATGTGTTGAATGGCTGTAACCCAACTATGATTGAGTTAATTATTTAAAAAAAAAATTTGGTGTGTTAAACAAAAGGTGTAATACATGAAGATATTATAAAATTTAAAAATAATTAAATAATAAATTATTTTTATAAAATGAAAAAGGAGATATCATAACATTTAAAAATATCAACTAATATCACCTTTTTATTATTGTAACTAAATACAAAATAATATTTTCTTTTTATAAAATCTCTATAAAATAAATATTTTTATAAATTTTTTAAACTGTTTAAATAATTTATTTTAATGTTAAACCCATGCCCTAAATTGGTGAGAGAGAATTTATTATTAAAGAACTTGTATTTATTACAAGCCAAATGGTATTCACCCAAATAAGGTTGGGTGAAACTTGATGTTGATGGCTTGTTCAAAACAAATGTTATTGCTTGTTAAGGTTTATTGTGAAGACAAAGGAAATTGACTTAAAATTTTTCTAAAGACCTTAATTGCTATTCCAATACTCAGGGACAAATTCAAAATCATCATATGAGGGACCATCTTTGAAATTTTATCTACAAGTAGGGCTTAAAATTGATTTTAGCATTTCTCATAAATAAAAGCATACAATTATACAAAGAAAATTTTAAAAATTTTGAATTATTGGGGGCCCACTACCCCTTCATTTTGGTGCTTTAGAACTTTTGGTATCCTACTAGTTTCGAATGACCCAACTTCTACTACAAGAGACTAAACAATTGCTCTATATTGATTATATTGATTGCTGTAAAATGTTGAGACTCATCTTGATTCCACACAAAATCATCCCTATATAATACTATTAAAAAAATCAAGAATTTTATTATAAGAGACTAAACAATCACTTTTAACCATGCATTTAGATTAGTAAACAATTGTTCAAATTGACTTGCTTGTGCATGCTTCTAATGATTATTTTGATATTAGATTTTTTGATGATCTACCCCTTACAAGGTCTATTATAACTTGATTGTAACCACTTTTGCACGAATTTTTTAGCCTATTTTATTGAAAAAAGGAATTTATATTTTAAAATTTTAAAATATAAATTACAAATAAAATAAGAATGAATTACAAATAAATTCCGATTAACAATGTATTGTCAATTTTCTAGGCTCCATTGTCAATAGACTTTAGAATAATTAAATGTATTAAGTGAGATCTTAAATATTTTCCATAAAAACAATTTATAAAATAGCACTTGGTTAATTAAAAAAAACATGTTTCGCAGCTAAAACACCGCAGTAATTTATGAGTTATCTACAGAAATTTAAAAGTTCATGATTTAACATTTAAAGGAGTTCATTATGATTTTTTTTTAATAAAAGAAAAAAAAGCAGTCTCACGAAGAAAGCCATACTAACTGGAAGTACTGATGCAAAGAGAATTATCTAAATATTGATAGTCTACTAACCGGAACACAAGATGAATTGGACATAAATTTTACGTCTTTTTTTTTCTGCCAGCTTTATAAGGTCATTTGGCTAGAGCCTGGAGCAGACAAGGAAATGCATTCTTATTCAACACATATAATATAGTGATATCATGTTAGGTTATTGGGTGTTTTGCGCAAGTAGTCAATTTGATTCTGAGTAAGACCAACCGGATAGGAGACGGTTCATTTCAATTTTATTTTATACTCGTCAATCCGTCCTACGTGTAATACCCATCCTCATTATTAATAATATACTACATACAAAAATTAATATTAATAACACATTCGTAACTCAATTTAAGAGAACACATTTTCTTCCTCATTTTCATTATCGATCCATCAATCTCATATATGAAGGCAAAGGAATGAGGTAATTTTCCTAAGGCAACTAATCCAATAAACGTAATTCATGGTGTTAAGCAAATCAGTAATCTGGAGATTACCTGAAGCTCCAATTTTTGACTAAGGATGCATTCTGGAAAGGTGACAATGAGACAATCCCACTTATGCACCAAAATCTTGGATCCAAAGTTACTGATTCATGAACTAAAACTAAAAGAAAACACCATGCCATGATAAAAATACCGCGAGAGTTCTCGACACTGTACTTACATAAAACAAAACTAAAAATTATCTGATCAAATCCAATACACAATTTCTGGCTCTCGAGAAACTAGAGACTTTCAAATCAAAAATGAGGTAAAAGCAGAGAAATTACAACAATATAACTGATGCTCTAATCAAAAAGTGACAATCCCAGATCATCATCTTCCTCCTCTTCTTCCTCCTTTTTTCTTCTTTCTTAGCTTCAGCTGCCGGAGCATCGCCAGCTGCGGCTGCAGGTGCTGCAGCAGCTACAGCACCACCACCAACGAATACTGCACCACCAACCACCACCTAAACACATCCACAAAAGTCTGAGCGAAAAATCCAACAAAATTCCTTTTTTGAAAGCCAAATTCATGCTACTCATCAAGATAGAAAGGTCTTCATCATACTTCTCATTTAGAGACAAGGGGAAAAAAACACTCCCCAAGATATTCAGTTTATTCACCAATTAAGAATACATCAATTATAATCAAGATATAAACCACAAATGAGACCACGTCCACATAGTAATTAATATGATGCCGTAGCAACAAATCGGAAACACAAGACATTACTAAATCACAAAAATTCCCAATATCAAGCATTAAAGACTAGCTGAATCAAGGGGAAAATAAGAAAATTGTCCAAAATCACGTCTAAGCAAAATACAAAGTCTACAAAAGATAACGCAGAGCCATTTCGAAGCAAATTCATAAGATCGCTTCCTTGAGCAGTTTGATGTCATAAATTGTATTAAGCGAAACATTCAAACAACTGCAGTAAGCCAAATGAATCAGATATTCAAAACCTAAAACAAACGAAGAAAAGAACCTGAAAAACAGCAGAAGTGGGGGAGACGAGGGAGAAAGAGGACTGAACGGGTCCAGAAGAATCGATAGCGAGGGTGGACTGGACAAGCTTCCTCTGGATCTCGAATGTCGTGGGAGCAGAGGCCTCGATGTCACCGGAGAGCTGCTTGCCAGTCCACTCGCCGTCGGAGTTGCGGAGGACATAAGTGAAGACTCCCATGTCTTCTCTTCACTAAAGTTCAAGTGAAAACCTAATTGAAGACACACACAAGTTCGTCACGCGTGACAAACCAATCACTTGCTTATATATAGGTACCATTTGGAAACCCTAGTTGGGTTTTTTTTTTGGGAAATAGATTGTGGTCATTTGTAAATGCCCATTTAGCCCATGTGGAATATTTTATAATCAACTTCAATCCTTGTTAGTGGGAGCCTGTGATGGGATTTGCCATTCCACATTTTTCTATGTTGTGATTTTCGTGTTGGCCCAAAAACGAAGAAGAAGTTATGATATTCATTAAAAAAAAATTTAAGAAATTTTAAATTTTAATTTAATATATTCTTTATTGGCATTCTATAAAATAAATATCACCTCACATAAAATTGTTCCGATGACTGTTCCTTTAAACTAAGTGCCCATTTAGATTTCAATTAAGTATACTTGATTATAAAAATAATGATTAAATATTTAATTTTAATCATAATTGATTATGTTATAAAATAATCTATTTAGATATTATTTTTTTAAAATTAATTTTAACAGAATTAAAAATATTTGGATAATTTAATCAAAATTAATTTTAGTTGTTTAAATTATCATAAAGGACATTACTTTTAAAATTAAATTATTGATAAATTTGTATCTCATATTATTAAATTTGTTAAATTTTATTTAAGGAGTAAAGTATATATTTAAGTTACATATCTGATTAATTAAAAAATTTAAATTATATTAATATTGACGTTTTAATTTACGTAAATAAATAACTCATTATATCTTAGTTCAAATAAATTTAATAAAAGAGAAATATTTAATTCTTAAATACTAAACATCAATTATACAATAACTAATGAAGATGATAATATACAAGTTAATTTTTAATGATATTACAAATATGAGCTATATATGACAAAGATGTTAAACACTATCTTAAAATTTGACAACACAAAAAAATATAATAATGTAACAAATGATGCAAAATATTTGTCTCTTTAAACTTTTGCAACAATCTTTGTAATGTCAATAAATTTTAAATTAAATTTTTTCTATCAATTAATATTTTGTTTAAATTAATTTTATAATAAGTGTTAAATGAAGGGCGATGTTGACAGAAATTTATGCTAGCAACTTTCTTGAGTATTTAAAGTTTGAATTTTACTAAATAAAAAGAGAGAGAAAGAGAGAGAGAACATAAAAGAGTTCAGTTTTATTTTATTAAATTTTGTATCTTTTTTATAATTTTTTTTCTCAGGCCTTTTTTGTAATTTTACCATGTGCTTTTTGAACAGTTTTTTTTTTTTGTTATTATTCTCTTCCCTTCTGATTAAACGCGCAGAAGCGCGCCGGTACAACTCAAGGATTTAATCGATTTTTCTCTTTATAATTGATTATCAATTTAATTGGTGTTTGGGTATGTTTTTGAAAAATCTATTTTTTTGCTGAAAAAATTGATTATCAAGCAAATCCAAAAGGGTGGAGTTAGTGTACCAGTGTTCAAACCTCCCAATGTAATTCCATAAAAAATCATTAATTTTCCTTTCAAAACAATATTTATTAAAATTTTACAATCCTACCGAGAAAACTTACAATATAATAAAAGCGGGGTATTGTGAAAAAACAATATCTTATCTTTTTCATAAAATTTTTTACTGTTACTAATATATATATATAGTGAAACTTATAATAAGTTTTAGGAAAAATTAATCTTTTAATCATTCAACTTTTAAGTCACTTGTAACTCAGTCCCTCAACTATAACTCACTGTGACTCATTCCCTCAACTATGACTCACTCAGTCCCTAAACTTTTAAATCACTTAAAAATTAATCCCTTAATTTTTGTTAATTTTTTTATATTAGCTTATATCTCACATCAATGAGCAAGAGGAGAATATTTTAAAATAATTTATGAGCATTTTTTTTATTCTTCTTATTTGATAAGAAATTTTTTTAAAAAAATTAAAAAATAAGACTAAGTTATAAGTAAATCAAAAGTTAAGAAACTGAATCGCAACGAGTTATAGTTGAGGAACTAAGTCGCAACAAATTATAATTGAAAAACTGAGTTACAAATGAATTAAAAATTGAAGGATTAAAAAATTAATTTTTCCTAAATTTTACTATTCATAATCCATGAATACTGGGATTTTTAGGTTTGAAATAAATATTATAATTTATATATCAAATTCCTTACAATTAAAGAAATTTTCCTTAAATAGATGATCCCATCTCCGTTCACGCTTAAATTTGACCAAACAAGCGGCCCCTGTAACATTGCAGGGAGAGTTCTTGCATCATGGAAAGGGATTGACACCTATTACAACATAAATAAAAATTTTACAAGCCAAACTTCTTTTACTTGTATAATAATGAGTTCAAAAATGAGACATTTTTTAAAGGTTGAATGTTAAAAAAAAAAATTAATATTTCTAGGTGTTTATTAATGCTTATTAATTGGAACACATTTAATTAATTTATTAAGAATAAAATTCAGTTAAAAATACTTTAAAAGTAAAAGAGCATATATCTTCTGATGAAATTTTTTTTAATAACACACCAGCTAATATTTGAAATCACATGAAAATCTTACTAACATAAATTTGAGCCAGGTCCACGAAATATTTTATAGAGCTTATAACCCCACTTAAACATAAAGTATAACCCAACTTAAGCTTATAACATATGGATAGTAAAACATTTGCTACTTATGTTTTGTCAGTGAATTAATGAGATCCACTATTGACTATTGAAGTACTAATATTTTTAAGAAAAAATTACATTGAAGTTCCACACAAGAAAATTAATTACTATAAGATTCAATTATCAATAGATCTTGCAGTAATTAAGTTTTTTATGAGACCTGATTGTAATTCTTCCTATTTTTAAGCTTGAAAAATGTTCAACGTTTAAATTTTAAACTATAATGTACAAAGAGAAAAGGGTTAAACATAGTAAACTCTCTTGAAAAGCTTGTTGCATATAAATGTCAATGATTTCAATGCCGCTTCTGCTGCCACACCCTAATTCCATATATTTCCATCAACAAAATTTTCAAGCTATGGTAAAATCTTAATTAAGAAACACTAATTAAAAGTTCAAGTGCTATACACACACACACACTATCCTATCATTACCTGAGTTGCATAAAACTAAAAATAACTTGTGGGGGCAAAATTTCAAGCATTCGTTGGAAAGCCATTTTGCATCTTTTGGTCAAAATTTTGCAACTTTCTACTGAGAAGTTCCCTAGCAGAGCTGCCAGATATCTATCTAATGAGAGAAAACAAAGACACCCTTCTCTGCAAGCACCATTCTTATGGCTGCTGTAGTTCCAACAATTCTCTCTAGCTGAAACATAAATCCCAAAAGGAGAAAATATCTCAGATAAAATTTCAAATAAGCAAGAAAAGAGGAAAATAAAAATAAAATGATTACACGGCTACCAATATAATTATAACAGTTAAGTATATTTACTTTGGACTTGTCAAGGCGAGAGAAAAGAACAGTGCATGCATTGTTGTCAGAGCCATCAAGCATATTTACAATCTGCAACAGGAAAGAAAGAACAGGGCAAAAAAGTTTAGGATTCTTGATCTATGATTTTGCTTATCTGGAAAAGATTAGAATAAAACATGAATCAAACCTATACCAATACCAACAAAAACATGAAATATAAATGCTCCCTCTGTCTTAGCTCATAAGATAATTTTGGAGGTGATTCAATATCCCAAAATATAAGACAATTTCATAAAAATAAAGTTTTATCAAATATACTTTTTTAATATTACCCTTCCCTCTTATATTCTCTCTCTCTAAGGTTATTGAATGAAATATATTTTTGAAAATTTATATTTTTTTTAAAAAAATAAGACTAAAGTGCGTTTTAACGAGTTTCATTGATATGCATAATTTTATTTAAAATTATCTTATAATTTGGGACCCAAGGAGTAAAAGAAGAATTGCCTGAGGCCCCACAAACAGAGGAGAAAATTTACGACTTCTCACCTCAGGGTAAAACTCCTTTCTCTCTGGGAGTGAATAAATGATCAAGTTCTTAACACCACGAATCTGCCACAAAGAAAATATAAGTCGTGTAGAATATTAAAAGATAGAGGAGAATAATTGCTTCTCCAACAATTCTTAGCCTGAGTCCATAAGAGAATTAAACAAAATTTCCTTAAGAATGAGGTAGACAAAGAATAAAAATTTCGTTAAGTGTGAGCAACCTTGTATCTGTGGTAAAAATGAGATCTCTCAGTGTAAAGCATAATCTTCCTTCTCTGTTCAAAGAACCAAAGCCGTGCACGGGAAAATATCACTATGGGTTGTGTACCTAAATTAACAAAAGAATGCATTGAATAAAACAAGTTGGACCATGTGGGCTATATAGCAAAACTTTTAAAGAACTCATTATGAAACTAAGACCACCATAAAATAAGAACATAAAGGAGCAGTGAAGGAGACAGCTTCTTACTCCCCAAGAAGGCAGAAGGAGGCATCTTGTGATTTCAAAAAGTTTCGTATCCGAATGAAGTCAAAATAACTACTGATAAATATCATAATTCCTCCCTGAAATAAGTATTTCATCACAAAACATATATAGCAGAGCATTATGATATCAAATGAAACAACCACATTAAAGCTTGCTCATAAGGCAGAAAACACTATAAAACCAGGTAAAAAATGCTACCTGATCAGATTCTTTGATCCTCGGGAAAACCTGCAAGAGAATATTTAGTAATGTCATGTCTGAACATGATCCAGTAAACGTCATAAATTATGTAAGGAAAAGCATGTAATTCTCTGTTAACTCTGTCCTCAGGGAATAATTTTACCATTTAAACATAGTGTTCCATATGCAAAATTTTTAGGTAAACTGTCCCTCGGCCAGAGGTGACAAGCATACCTAAGAAGAGCAAAATGAAGAGGGATATGCACATGATTTGGGAACAGAATGAGTTGGATAATTGATATGCTTATCATGGCATTGAAATGAATCAAGGCCAGCAATGAGGCTAGACTAGACTAATTAACAGATACGGTAAAGAATATATGGATATTTCATACTACTACAACTCAGAATATAGAAATTTTGTAACCATAACAACAAAATGCACACCTTCTTCACAAAATAATGAAAGCGGGCATCCGCATCTACCATTGAATCTACATTGAATCGTTCATAAATCTACAAGGTTGGAATCAGATAATGAGATGAGGCAAAATAAAATTAAGTATAGACCCATGGAGACGACTCTAAAACATGTTCACCAGAAATAAAAGCATCTAAGAAAAATGAACAAACCTCAACGATTTTAAAAAATTAATTTTGAAATACTTTCTATTTTTTTTTGGGGGGGTGGGGGAAGCAATAATGACAATAATGAACAATCAAGTTAAAAAATCACAATTCACAACTGCACAGGAGTTAGTTTATCAAAATCAATTTCAACAGCCCATGGTTAGCCCTCTTATAACTGCTCTATAATCCAACCAACAGTCATAGTAGGAGAAGCCGCAGCCAAGGAATGAAATTTAATCCTTGCGTCCTTATTCTGCTTCTAATTAGTTAATTGGGAATCCCTAACTTCTCTATAGGAATAACATTGAAATTTGAATTTATATAAATGGTCAAATCTGATTTTGTGCTGTATTTAATTGTATAGCTGTTGCACAGTTTCAATTTCACTGTTCCTGTTTGCTGGCCAAGTAAACTCATTGTCCAATAAATCTGTCAGGCCAATTCTATTCTGCTTATGCAGAGTTTCAACTCGCAAGGAACAGAATGAACCCAAATAAAAAAAAAAAAAAAAACTGACTTGGGGACGCATTACAAAGTTCTCAGAAAGATATCGGAAAAATTGGAAGAGTAAGAATGCAATAAATGACCGTGTAAAATCCACAAACCCTGGAAAAACTAACAACTCAAATCTTTTTTCCCTGACTTCTACAAGGACATTAGACTTTTTTTTTTTTAGAAATTTATTAATTAAGAATCACGTTCAACAATTCCAAAGTGTTCTCTTAGGCCTTCCTCTTTCTTAATCGGACTCAAAGTTATATGTTCCACTCTTCTCACTGGTGAAAACTTGGTCTTTTTCAAAATAGTAAAAAACAAAAATCTCAACCGATTTTCTACCTTTTCCTCAATAGGTGCCACCCTCCTTTCACTATTGTGCTCCCTATCGAAACTTTAAAAAGAAACAGTGTTAATTACATCAAAACTTTAAAGGATGAATCTAAAGCAAATTGATTCTTTCCAAACAAGAACCTCTATGGATCAAATAGACCCTGATTAAATTGAGCAAATACAGAAATTTGTTTCAACATCCAGAATAACAAGAAACCACCTGCGGTATTTGTGGTAAAACTTTGTGCAGCAAACCTTTGTATTCACATATCAGTTTCACCTGCACACATCAATTGATAACATTGACATCATAAGATTTTAAAAATTTCTACATAATTATTTTTATGATGTGCTATTGCATAAGCAGCTGAATTAATTACTTTTTTCAAGAAGGTCTTCATTACAGTTTTATATCACAAGGCAAATCAATATAGGTTTGCATTGAATTCTATACGAAACAAAGCCAAGAATAAGTACACAAAATATTAAATTGAAATTCAACAGTGAGAATTCCTATAGTCTTCATTCAAAAGTGCAAGCACTTGTGAAACCTACCTTCCCTTGGTAATTAGAACACTGGTGGTTGAACGACCCATTAATATCTGCAACAAGAAACAGCAGAGGTTATAGCATACCCCGAGTGTTTCTGAGGCAAATCAAAAGGCATTTAAAAATTAGCCAAGTCTAATTATGACATAGCAAGCAAATGTTAGATGCAATAGCCTACTGGTTAATCAACCACAATGCTTCAGAAGATGGAACAAATATAGAAATTAATGGAAGTTCAACACTACACTATACATCTTAAAAAAAATTCAAAGTGAATGTTAACAAGAAAACAAATGGCAACAAAATTCTAACAAGCACTGTAAGTACCAAAATTTTCTGACAAACTAAAATCTTCCCCATTTACCAAAGAGGTAAAAGAAGGAAGAATGAAAAGGCCAATGTTCAACACATAGAATCTGGATTTCAAAGATTATAAAGACAAAATAATAATGCAAAGTTGTTCTCAAAGATCTAGGCTAGAAGAAAGAACACCTATTACCTTGATTTGAATAAAAACCCAGAATGATTGTTTGCCTGTAAAACTTAGCATAATCATCAAGATACCTACACAATAAACAGTTTAAATCATTTCACAATTTTAAGAAAAGAAAAGGCATGTCATATGTTTGACACTTAATTCTAAGCAGGGATATAACAGACAATTCATGTGACAAAGAAATAATGGATCACACACACGAAGACGGGCAGTCCCTTCAAAGATATCACAATGGAACTGGAATCATACAGAGCACACTAATACCAAGGACGGACTAAATTCTCGTTGTCATGTCCTACACCTTTGACATGCAAGTCTTCTGCCTAAGACAGAAAGTTGAAATTAATTTACTCAATTATGTTCATTAATTCATTTGACCGGCAGTAGCATATTTATTGCACTATTGTAGAATGAAGCTTCAAAACCACTCCTAATCCCCATACTTGTTGGTTTAAGTCCAATCAATTATATTGCTACCCTAAATATACATATGTCTTTCCGTCTTTAAATAAGAACAGAACGTTTTTCAGAGATAAAAGTTCTGTCTGTAAAGATAAAGGCTTTATCTAGGCCAATGAAGCCTTGTCTCCAAATGCATGGATTATCTGTCACAAGTTCGGAAAATGACAACCATGTTTTACTACGCTTCAAGATTGGTAGGCACTTGTTGGAAAGTTATTTAATTTTTTTGAAAGCAGTAAGCTTGTCGAGAGTTCATTCTCGAACTGGTTTTAGAAGGAAGGGGGCTAAGGTTTTGTGAAGTTCTTACATGCCCGAGGTGCATATGAATAAGGTTAAATCAATGCGCAAGATATTTTCAGCCTGCAGCTTTTGAAAGTTATAATATTCTTTCCATACGATGACTGTCACAGTGTGCGTTTGTGCTCATGGTATTTTCAACCCCCCTTAGAGGGGGGGTTCTGAGTCAGATTGTTGAGCAACTGAGGAGTTCCATTTTGTGCACCCCTTGTTTCTTTCACTGTTACAACCAAATATTATGGTTGCTACCAGCAAAAACTATCATTGTGAATGCAAAAGCCAATCTCAAAGTATTCAATTACAAATATCATTTTTCATGGACAGAACAAAAACAATAAGTTAAACAAAACGCATAAGAAAGATGATATATATCACACCATGGTCTTATTCGCATGACATTTGTTCCAGGCTGCTTTGAAGGTAAGCAGTTCAAGCGTTCAAGAACTGTATGCACATGAGACCAATCCTGCCATTTTTTATATATGATAGACAAAATTCATTTACGGCCTCAAGATCATGAACCTTCAAAAGTTACAACTATATCAAGTAACACCCTTAATATACCTGCATTGCTATTACATCTGCATGATCAACAATCAGAACCTGCTCATAATTATTCGCTGGGTCAACTTTACAGCATATTTTGCGCATAAAAGGTAGCAACATATGCAGTAAGAATTATCAAGACAAAATTTCAAGAAGAGTAACAGTTTACCTCTATGGATGACAAATAATCAACATCTTTTTCCTTATCACTCTTAGCCTCATCAATTTTCTAGCATATAGAACAGTCTGAAGCCATTAGCATATACATAAGCAGTATATTCCTTCAAAATATATTAATAGAAGAACAGTTTCAATGCATGCAAAGTTTCAAAATACACAGAAAAAATGGTAAAACACGTTTCAACTCAAAGCTAAAGCTGTTTAATGAAGGTCAATGAAAAATTACATTATTAAATTTAAAATATAAAACAAAGATTAAATTTTAAAAGGAATTTCTTACATTAACCAAGCACAATGGTGAAGCAACAATGATGTCTGAGGTATGGAAATCACTAAATAACTTGATTGTTTTCCTGCGCAAGAGAAACAGAATATATCTTGACCATGAGAAATTTATTTCATATTGCTTTATGATACAAGTTCAACAAAACAAAAGCTTTGAAAGAGAACTAAAGAATTCAACTTTGGATGAGACAAACTCTCCAAGACAGCATTTTTATATATCCTTTATTTATATTCAAGATAATGCACAAATAAGCTATATGTGTAAGAATTTTCAAGTTAAAATGGGCACCTTCCACATTCAACAGTCACTTCTAGAAGGTAAAGATAAACTATGCGACTATGGAGGCATCTAAAGAGGGCAAAAAGATTCCTTCCATGATTGGATTTCTTTAATGCTATATTTGAATACATTTGGATTTAGATTTGAGCCAAATCCATTGTTTGGGTAATTAAAAAATGTATAGAACTTAAGCTCTACCTCAATCTCTTTATAATTTGAAATCTTTTCTAAACCCCTATTATTTCAAATCCTAACACAATCTCTTTTGTAATTTGACCCAAATTCACGAAGGCTTGATCGATTAGCCAACGGTAACTAAACCAGACCACCGAAGTTGACAGAAGCAAGCAACCATCGTTGACAGGGACCAAACGTCCAACTTCCACTAAGATAGGACCAACGGCGATGACGGGGAGCAAATGGCCAACTTCCACCTGGATCGGACTGACAACGACCACCAGGACCTGATTGATGGCGACCACCAGGATTGGACTGATGGTGACGAAAGGTAGCGGATAGTCGACTTCTGCCGAGACCAAACCTATGGCGACAACAAAGACTCGGCAACAAACTTCCACAGGTACGACCTTGATGAAAGTCAACCGTCTGGATTTGGTGGAAGTCGGCCATCCTATCCCAATAGTTGTCATCGGTCTGGTCCTGATGGTCGCAATTAGTCCAGTCCCTATGGAAGTCAATCGTCCAGTCCTCATCGTTGTAATCGCCGTCAGTCTTGTCCTGATGAAAATCAGTCATTTGGTCCTCGTCATTGTGTTGGTTCATTCCCGATGGAAGTTGGCTATCCCGTACCAGTCATCGCCGTTGCTACAGTCCCAGTCAGCTTTGACTGTCTGATCCCAATGGAAGTTGGCCATTCAGATTGTCAACTTCAACCAGTCATCCAAGTTTATTTTAAATTCAAATATAGAATTTAAAATTTAAAATTTTACTTTAGATCCAAACAAAAGAGTTTAATATTATAATTTGAAATTTTTTATATCATCTAAACAAAATTTAGAATCTATGAATTTCAAATATGAGATTTTAAATCCAAATTCACAACTTAAATCCACCAATCCAAACGCAACCTAAGTAAATTCAGAGTTATAAATACTCACTCCCTTGAGAAATATTGAGGCATATTGTGGAATATTAATAAAAATATTCTGCAAATATTTCCTTTTTAATTTAGCATTTATAACTGTAAATATTTTTGATTGTATCACCCCTGATTTCTTGGGATCTCTTTTTGCATTACTCTCTCATTTATTTGTCAGCTGGATCATGGGGATTGAATAGCAGGAATGTCGCTCATCTTCCCCTATAGATGTTCCATTTTTTTTCCGTGAATAAAACACACAATTCATTCTCTATTCTTGTTCAAGGCATAACAATAGGATTTCTTCTTCTGATTCTCATCTCTTCTTTTCTTTTCTTTTTTTGTCAACTTCTCATATTTCTTAATCTTTTTTGAACAGTGAATGAATAGGCAAAAGTGATCAAAATATTTCTCTCCATGCTTTTGATTCCCAGATGGATGATTATACTTATGACAAGACTTTAGTGCAGTCACACATACATATTTAATGAAAACCCAGTGAATATGTGCATGAATGCATGTCAAACCCAATTTGTAGTTATAGCTTGGCAAAATCTCCCTTCCATCTTCTTTTTCACAGAACAAAGAACTATCATAATGGAAATATGCCTACATCGTAGGAACCAACCAATGGAATTGCCAACCTACGAACACTAACTACAAAGAATGATCAAAAAGCTGGCCGAATATTATTAAATTATAACAAGGAAATAAGGCGTCATAAGCACTTCTTTCAGCTTGCTGGAGTTGTCAACAAACATGTCAGAGACACCTATAATTTCAATCACTTCTTATAGACATCGGTAGGTTGACTAGGTTCTGTAACAACTAACAAAGCCAGTGACATTTTATTTTATACTTCACCTAACCTTTTCCTTTGGGAACATCAATTTTTCTAGGTGAAAAAGACTCAAACCATTGTTAATTTACAGAATTTTATCCAAAAATAATAAAATATATAAGATACCCTTCTAATCAGAATTATTCATGACTTTCCAGTTGTAAAGAATCTAATGACAAATGCTGATGGTGAACTTACTAAAACTTTCACTTGTCCCAGAAAAAGATTTATAATAAAATTAAGCCAATTACTATTTAGAAATTTAATTTACCTTGTAAACTTGATGCCAATCATGAAGTTATCCTCGTTATTGCCACCAAAAAGTGCTTGAAAGTCGGAACCTTTATATGACTTTTGGGGCATTGCATTTCCAGATTCCTGCCCATTTTCATCCATCTGATCATTGCCTTTATCGTCTTCACTTCCAAATTTGGTGGAAAAACGGTCCATATGCTCAACACTGAGCTGTAAATGCCAACACAAAACTATTAAACTACCTGTTTATCTTCTGAACTAGAGCAAAAGCAAAAACACACATCACGTCATTTTTATTGAAAAAAACAATCATTAACTAACTAATGACTAAATGGAGGACATTATCAGCATGCAGCAATCACAACAATAATTACAACCACAAGCATAAACATACAGCATACATTCTTGATATAAACAAGCCTATTAAGTTATATAACAAACTTGATATGTATCGATAGGTTTATAATTGCACAGTTCATGCACTTGACACCTTGTTATTAGAGCCCTTTGCAAGTAGATTTTTTCCAAAGTCACCAACCATCAACTCTGATACTTAATGGTAGGCATCTAAGTGGAATGAAAACCTTTCTCCAAAAGATAGCATTTAAGATGGGAAAACCAGGAATAGAAACAGGCATTGCATAGAAGAGATCCTTCACAAAAATAAAATGCACAAGGAACCTAGTAGGAAATTCTGGCTTTAAAAAGGAAACAAAACAGGACAAGGGAAAATTACAACTACGTGCGAGCAGAAGGATTGAGGCAAAAATATAATAAACCTTCCATTAGTCATTTCAAACTATTACATGCCAAAATCCCAATTCAAATGCCACAGATTAAGAGTTGAGGCAAACCTCCAGAGTCTAGAGCATGCAATGACATTGTTAGTGTTTAGGACCATGCTCAACAAACTTATTAAAAGTAAAAAAAAAAAAAAGTTAATGTTAATTATCAATTAAATAAAAAAGTTAAAGGATCAAGCTAAAGTAAATTACCTTGCAAGATGGAGGTGTAAGTTGTATAAGCCTCTTCACAACACGGAACACAATGCTTGCAAATGGTAATAATATTAAAACCTGGAGCATAAAATGAAAAACTACATCACCAAAGATTACAAATTAGCAATCACATGACCTGTTAGGTGTGCTTAGCAAATAATTAGGTAAAAGCTTGATCCAAGGAAACAGAGCTCAATCAATGATTTCATCTGTCAGACTTCTAATTACGTATGAGAATACTTAACTCCCTTCTCCAGATAATTAAAAACAACATACAACATTGAAACAAAATCAGAATCACCAATGTACCCAAAAATAAAAAGGACCACCAAGCAAACAACCACAAAGGCATAACCAAATCCAAAAAATATCAATAAATCAAAGTCAATCAACATCAATGTCAGCATAGAATATAAAATTTATAACCAGTCATAGTACTTATAAGTGTGCTTAAAACAAATACTAAATTTATCACTTGTACTTCAAAATTTATCAACATCAATATAAAGGCATGCTACAATGCCATCTCATATTAAACAACGTTGATTAAAGAAGCTGAAATGAAATTATTATTAAAAAAAAACAATTAGAAGAATAAAGGGTCCTCACCTTTGGACGAGTAAAACCTTGATCTCGAAATTCATCAACATCAGCAGTCTCCCCAAGCTTGGCAAGTTTGGCTTCATTTTTTTTCACAAGGTCTCTAGTTCTAAAGACATGATTGAGCTGTTCATATGACAACAGTCACTATGTCATTAATGGAAACAAGCAGCAAAATTCTATATAAAACAGCAGGACAAAATGCTTACTGAATGCATTATGTATGCGTCCATGATCGTCATGTCTTCCAAGCCTTTGTGATAGAATGGTCTTTTGTTACAGTGAAGTATATCCCTGTAGCTATTGCCTGGAACCAGGTTGACAACATGAACTCATTACCCATGAAATGAGTAAAAATGAAATTATGATTGCCTCATGTACAGAAATTGGAGGAATTAACTAAATTGATTTCACTTCAATTTGACAAAGTCCCCCAACATTTTGGGTCCATATTTAAGAATACAACAGCATTACGAATATAAAATCCCAACTTTAAACCCAAGATTCATCTAATTAGAGCGTATTCAATGAAGAAAATTTGGTAAGCAACAAAAAATTTACAAAGTTATACGTAATATGGAAGGAAGTACGTCTTGAACACATATCAGTGAAGCAAACAATCAAGATGCACAATGCTAGAAAGACTGATGGCAAAGATGAATTATAATACGTATCACAAAGGTGCAACTGAATGATGCTAACTAGATAATTCATCCACAAAAATTCCAATTAACTTACATAGGGAGAAAAACGTCTTTTGTAAAGATGAATTAACAGCCTTGCCCCCAGATCTCTGGTAGACTTCCATCCAGTGCTGATACAATTTTGGCTTCAGACCGTCACAAGAATTGAAATCTAGACCCTGAATGAGAAAGCATGAAATAAGAAGTAATATGCGATTGAGCCCATTGCCAAACAATCTAATTCTTCATTAGTGAAATTAACATTACAATATTAAAGAATATACGATTAGGACAAAGCCAAGACATGAACAATGTCAAGAGAGGTAAGAGAACACATAACAGGAAAATATTCATCACCAAACAGGCAACTTACCAAAAAAATCATGGAAGCAAAAAGTAAAAATTGTAATAATTACTTCATTCACTTATTTGCCATATAGAAAATTTTCTCCAGCTAAAGGATCAATGTTATAATCATCAGCCAAGAGACCAAAAAGATCCAACCATGAGATACTACAACTTATGATGGGAAAACAAAGATGAAATATGTACACAGTTATATAAACTTTATGAGCTTACAAATCAGCATAACAGTATCAGAATCTCATCAACCATGAACACAAGCCTTAAGTTGCAAAAATCACAAAATTCCATTCATTACAAACAACTTTGAAGTCTCTCTAAAGTGACGATACCCATACAGTAAATAAGCTGCTACTTTTCATTGCCGAGCTATTGATACTAGAATAAATTCCACACCTCCTTCCAGACCAAAATATCATAAACAACTCTCCTCCTCCTAACTTGTTACAGCCAAAGGTGCAGAAGCAAAAATGAAGGGAGAGGAGACGTGGCAGGCTAATAGAAGGTTAAAAATTGGCTTGACAATTGATTTTCTTTTCCCATACAAAAGGACTGGTTCACAAGACATAATCATAGGATCATAGGATTGGACAATTAGGATCATGAATCCTAAGGCAATCCAAGTACATTTCAATCTCACCAAGGATTAAGATTGATTTATATAGGTAGAATAGTAAGATCTTACAATCAAGATCAAGATCTAGATACAAGATATCATTATCTACTAATTGAAGGCAAGAGAATACTGAAAAGGGATAGCAAAGCTCAAATAAACAGAACCCAGCAACATTTCTGTAGCAAAACCTTCCTTTTCCAACCTCTGTGGCCGCTAATTGAAGTAAATTTAATTTTTAAAAAAGGTCACCCGCATACAAATTGAGAGTAGTAAGATATACCAAGAAAATATAATGCAGAAATATACCTCTAAAATATTATTCCCTGTTCCTGTCCATTTGCAATTTGACATACCATTTGCTGGCACCTCCCACTTATATTCCCAATTTCTTAGGTCATTGATTTCTTCTTTTGATAAACTATGTTGCAAATGTAAATCAAAGGAGCTGCAGGAGGACATGGAAGTTTTAATCACTACAAGGTGTGCAAGATTTAAAAACATTCATTCAACATATGAATAATGATAAAAGCACTTGAGGTTACAGTAGGTAATAATAATGAGTGAAAAATATAGCATAAGCATGGGAAGTCAATTTCAAATGCTACAAATTGGAGAAAATGTAACATGGACATAAGTTACCACCAAATTAATGATCCTGCATAAAAAGGACTATTTAAAAAATGTTTCATTGATGCAAAAATAAAGTGCTACACCTTTATTTTGGGGAATGAAATTTTCTTTCCAATTTTTCATTATCCTGTTCAAACAATTCAATATTCAATAATTAAAAAACATATTTCAATTATATTAATATATAAATGCGTTGTAATTTCGAAGGGGATGAATTTGAAGAAAACAACATGAAACAGAAGGAGGTACTTAATGCTAAGTTGTTAACAGACCTCAACTGCACTGAATCCTCAGGAGTTGATCTACCATTAATCTCTGTATCCTCTTCATCAGAAAGAGATAGGTCAAGAGCCCCATCACTTTTAGAACCTTCACTAAGTCGAGAATCATTAACCTCAGGGTCTTCTGACATACTTTCCACACCTTTGCTTCTAGGAGACTCATCATCAGACACTACAAGTGAAAATGTTAACATAAGAAAAAGGATAATATTCACTCATTAAAAAATAAAATAAAATTATATATAGGGGAAAAAAAGAGTATCTTTATGCTTTTCTGAAAGACGAAAAGAACGCAGAAAACCAGTAATCAGTGGCCAAGGATATAGTCAGAAAAGACTGATTAAACCCCCAAAAAAAAAATCAATCAGTAACTAATGAATTTCACACTGACTTCAATCCAATAATTAAAAGAAAATATTACCACCTGATAATTTGTTCTGGAAGTTGATAGCAATTTTTTCTTGTGAACTATACCGTCATAGACAAAATCTAAATATTTTATTTAACATAAAACCTACAGAATTAAGAATAATAAATTGTCCAGTTTATGTGACTCATCTACGTTTGGATTGTATTGCAAGATGATGGTTGAGATTTGAAATAATTATAATTAAAGATTTAAAATTTTAGAAGAATTGTAATAAATAAAAATTTCCTTTGGTTCCATACAATTGTATACATCCAAATAATAGACCTGGCTCAAATCCAAATTTCCACTAATCCAAACAGGAATTTCAATTTACCTAAAAACAATTTGAGCTTTGATACAGCGGCTAAGGCAATAATATATTTGAGCATTTCACTTCACGGATTACAAAGCATTAGAGGTAGATTAAGAAGACGAGACAATCTTTTACCTGACCCGAAACACACGAAATCTGTCTCCAAATTGGCTATAATGATCCAAAAAAAAATTTAATCCAAACTCACAAAATTGTTCAGAATCCTATGCTCCGATAAAATAATAGAGTGAGGAAGACTTGGTCGGGACTAAATGGCTACATGATATAACCAAGTAAATTCGGAGGCAAAACAAACAGGATCAAAAGGGATCCTTGCGTTTCCAACCTGTGTATTTGGTGTCTGGAGGCACCAAATTTCCTCTTCTTCTCATCTGTTCCTTCTTCCTCAGTATCCATTCCCTTCCCTTCCCACTCTTGTTATGTTTCTGCTTCTTCTTAGGTCTATGCCTATCTGAGATACAGAAAGCCATGGCAATACAATCATACATTTGAGTTCAGCTATATTACAAATGAAAGGATTAAAAAAAAATGCTTGTAAAACCAGACTCTATGGATTAAATATGAAATAGTGAAATGTCAGAGAAGTCCTAATCCCACAATCTAAGAAAGTAAACTCAAGTAATGCCTTGAAATCTTCCAATCATCGAAGCATACACAAGGTAATGAATAACACATCATATATGTAAGTCAGAATGTGGTATTCAACCCTCAACGAACAATTTAACTGGTTAACCTACAAAAGAATTACAAAAGAATTGGTCATAATAAATCTACCACAATTATCAGCCATAGTGCCTGGAAACGTTGCAGTGCAACTTACAATCTCATGTAAAAAGGGTAATGCCATGGCAAGAGAACAACAATTCGATACCCAGGACTGCAAAGAGTTTCAAGCCTAGAACGTTATGAGTATTAGATTATGTTTAGATGAAATTATTATGAACTGTGAATACGCTAACATGTATAATAGGAAAGAAAAAAAAAAACAAGATGCTACATTTACCTAAGTATGGAAGTCGCAGAAGAGAAAATGAGAATTTTTACCATTGTCTAGGAGTAACTTGGGAATGCCGTCATCGGGCGAGGCAAGTAGCTCCAGAGCTCTTTCAGAAAGTATCGCCTTCAAACACGCGAAAGAGGATCATCAAGAATTTCGAAATGGAAAACATAACACTCAAATTATCGCTTACAAATTCAACAAATAGAGAAAGAGCATCAGGATTCTAAGAACAAAAAGGAGAAGCACGTATAACGTGATTTTCAAGGGAGAGCACCTGAATTTCAATGATGCGAGAAGAAGATGTGTACTTGCGAGCTTCAGTATCATCGTAGAAAATCTCAGGCGGAGCAAGCAGCTCTGGCCTGGAAGCCATCACTGGAAATCCTCTTGCTCTTCACTTGCACTGAGTCGATGGTGAAGACTGAACAGAGCGACGCCGAGGTAATGCCGGACACAGAACGTGGAGGACGAACCGGTTGAACGAAGAAGGCGCGAGTTAGAGTAAGAAAGGCCGTTAGGGTTTTAGAGGGTATTGACTATTGAGTGGGGTTCCGGGAAAAGAACAAAACAAGACGTTTAGGGTCTGTTGATTCAAGGAAGGATTTTAATAAAAGAAAGGGATGATATTTATTTGAGTCAGGAAGGAAGATTAGAGAAAATAAATATATATAAACAATTTTATTTTTATATAAGTAAAATTGTTTTTTTTCTCGATAAAATATAGTTATGAATTTTTTAATATATAATTATCTATAATTCATATATATATTTTTAATAATAATTTATTCAAAATTTATGAATCAAAAGTATATAAAGAAATAAGTTTATTAACACAAAATAGAAGAATAACAAAACATGATTAAAAAATAGAAAAAGAAAAAAAATAAAAATGACATTTCAAGTTAAAAAAAAGAACACAACTTGAACAGAGGAACACATACCAGCAAAGAATGAAGAATATTTTTAAATTATCATATTATAATAGGGATTTTTAATCTAATACAATAAAATAATGAAAGATTTTAAAAAAAAATTCCTCCCTTTTTTTTCCATTTTTACAAATTGAAAGGGAGTAAAATTTCTCTTCTCAAACCAAATATATCCTTAATATGTAATGTGAATGAATATTTATAATATATTCACGCATGTGACACGATACATACATGCATATAAAACTATAAAAAGTAAAAATTACACCATACCTTTTTAAAATATGATAATGAGTCCTTCAATATTTTTTTAAAATGCGATAATCAGTCCTTCAATACAAAACCACATGACACAACTCCCCTCAAAATTTACAAATGCCTCCTTCCAAAAAAAGCCTCCACACCTTTTTAAAATATGATAATGAGTCCTTAAATACTTTTACAATTATATAAATAATATTTTATTGCCAATTTATATGATATTTAGTAATAAAATATAAATAAAAAGTTTATTTGCACAAAATTTAGAAATGTAATTTTCATGGAAAAAAATTAAAGAATTACTCCATCCTATCCTATTTATAGGATGAAAAAAAAAAATTAATTTTATTTATAAGTTATGTTATTAATTTTTAACATAATTTTCTCTTTCATCTTTCATTAAAGGTATGTTTGTTTCAACTTATTTTATAAAAAAATTACTTATTTTATTTTTTTAAGAAAATTATTTTATGAGTTTTTATAATATTTTTTAAAATTTTAAAAATAATCAAAATTTGTAAAAAAAACAGAGAGAGAGAGAGAGAGAGAATTTTTAATTATTTTAAGAAGCTACTTTGAATAACTTCTAAAATAGATAAGAGAAAATGTTTTCAAAAGGTGTAATACATGAAGATATCATAAAATTAAAAAATAATTAAATAATAAATTATTTTTATAAAATGAAAAAAAAGAGATATCATAATATTTAAAAATAACCAACTAATAATCACTTTTTTATTGTGGTAACTAAATACAAAATAATATTTTCTTTTTATAAAATCTCTATAAAATAAATATTTTTATAAAATTTTTAAACTGTTTAAAAATAATTTATTTTTAATGTTAAACAACATACCCTAAATATTGGTGAGAGAGAATTTATTATTAAAGAACTTATATTTATCACAAGCCAAATGGTATTCACCCTAAAGTTGGGTGAAACTTGATGTTGATGACTTACTCAAAGCAAATATTATTGCTTGTTAAGGTTTTATCGTGAAGACGAAGGAAATTGACTTAAACGTTTTTCTAAAGACCTTAATTGCTATTCCAATACTCAGGGACAAATTCAAAAATCATCATATGGGGGACCCACATTTGAAATTTTATCTACAAGTAGGGCTTAAAATTGATTTTAGCATTTCCCATAAATAAACGCATACAATTTTACAAAAATAAAAATAAAAATTTTGAGGTATTAGGAGCCCACAACCCCTTCATTTTGGTGCTCTAGAACTTTTGGATATTTTACTAGTTTCAAATGACCCAACTTTTATTAGAAGGATGGACTCGATGACGTTAATCCCTATATTGATTATTGTGAAATGCTGAGACTCATCCAACTTGATTCCGCACAAAATCATCCCCCATATGCTACTATTAAGAAAATCAAGAATCTTACTATAAGAGACTAAACAATTACTTTTAATCATGCATTTACATAATTAAACAATTGCTCAAATTGATTTGCTTGTGTATGCTTCTAATGATCGTTTTGATACTAGATTTTTGGATGATCTACCCCTTGCATGCAAATCCCTTACAAGGTCTATTATAACTTAATTGTAACCACTTTTGCATGAATTTTTTGTCGCCTATTTTATTGAAAAAAGGAATTTATATTTAATAGATAATACAATTGAAAACTTATTAAATTTTAAAAAAAATTATTTCTATAAAATATGTTAAAAACAAGAATGAATTACACATAAATCCCAATTAACAATGTATTGTCAATTTTCTAGGCTCTATTGTCAATTAACCTCAGGGTCTTCTGACATACTTTCCACACCTTTGCTTCTAGGAGACTCATCATCAGACACTACAAGTGAAAATGTTAACATGAGAAAAAGGATAATATTCACTCATTAAAAAATAAAATAAAATTATATATAGGGGAAAAAAAGAGTATCTTTATGCTTTTCTGAAAGACGAAAAGAACGCATAAAACCAGTAATTAGTGGCCAAGGATATAGTCAGAAAAGACTGATTAAACCCAAAAAAAAAAAAAATCAATGAGTAACTAACGAATTTCACACTAACTTCAATCTAATAATTAAAAGAAAACACTGATTAAAGATCCATATGTGAGAAAGGAAATTATAGAAACATATAATAATAAACCCTAGCCCCTAGGTAACACCTTCCAGAATAGAACATAACTTTCATCAGACCTTGTTCCATGTCATCATACGCATAGTTCAGCTTCCTAAGATGTTTTTCAGTATTAGATTCTTTCCTTTTGTTGTCACCTCTGCCTTCTTTTCTTTTCCTGAAAAGAAGGTAAAAAAATGCATAATTATAATATTTGATGAACCGAAAGGGCCATAACAGTTGATTAGAACGTAAAAACAGGAATAGTTACTAGTGTGCAACATTGAATAGGAGATTTAGATCATTATATTGGATGATTAAGTGTCCATGCCACCCCCATGGAACTAGTATTCCATCATCTTGATCCAAATCTAAAATATTCTAACTCCTACATCATCGAAGTTAATTTAATTAGACCAGAACACTATTTCTAGGTTACAACAGTAATATGCGAATAAAATAGTAAAAATAGCCACAGCATCACCCCCTTTACCACATAGTAGATGCTAAATTACACTCTACCACAAGAAACGGTGGCATAAAACTATGTCCAGCAAAAGAGAATATTATAACCAAAACAAAGCATTCTTCGCACGCATACATTTGTGTCCAACTATACTACATACAATTAGAACATCGATTCAAAGGATTACCTCTTCTTGTTCGCAACAGAAGCTGATTTAGTGCACGACTTAAGCGTCTTCATGGCCCTAGGATTATGATTGGATGCTTTCACTCACGATTGTTAGTACGCCACTGAGAGAGAGCTTAATGCTTTGCTTGCTATTAGGGTAGTGTCAACTTTATTTCAAAACGCTGCCCCAACAGTCTGCCACAAGTTACAATCAAAATTCAGGAAATAAGTCAAAATTCGAAAGAGCAGTCCAGGTCAGGAAGGAAGGAGTAACAATAATGGTTTTGAACAAAGAGGAGTGAGTTTCCCTCGTCGGAGAAAAGAACGTAATTGATTGACGGCGGTGGCTACTAATGATGGTGTGGGGCTGGAGGCAGAGGTGACGGCTGGTGATGAGGAAGCGCCGCTCGGATTCTTTCCACAACAACATAATGTGACAGCGTTTTGCTGGCGGCCTTTATTTTTACCCTAAAAGGAATAATTATAAAATAATACCAGGTTAGAGTATTTGATGAACAACAATTTTAAAAGGATGACATAATGGTAAAGATATTTAATAATTTTCTCAATTGTAAAAAATAAATAATATTATCAAAAAATAAAAAATAAAATAAATAAATTTATCATACAAAAGTAAAAGAATGAGAAATTACTTTATTTTTATTAAAAAGGTATGTGCTTATATTTTTATTTTAATTATATTTAGCAATTTCGATCATAGCCTGCGTTTGGGGCGCCAAATTAAAAAAGATCCTCGCTTTGAGATTATGTGCTGTGTCTTCGGAAGAAAAGGTTCCTGCCATTGGACAGCCTCTAGAGTAATGGCAAGTATACGAGTTTTGTTGTTAAAAGAGCAAATACATTATTTTTAAAAAAATAAAGGTTAAAAGATATCTATAAGCACAAGATCAGGCAAGACCAGGTTAGCAATTAAGCCGGTGCCCGATTCTTATGTATCAATATCAAGATTAGGCTAGCCCAGCATGAAGAGACCGGGCTTTTGTTTTTATATATTAAATTATGTACATCTAAAATATTCCTTTAAAAAATAATGTTATGATCAAAAATAATATTTTTAAAATTTTAAAAACTCAATAACATATATTGTTCTTAGTTCTTACATAATATGAAGTCAAGAAATAAAATTAAAATGTTAAATAAAAGTAATATATTCACTTCTTAAAAGTTTTCGTAATGACTACAAAGTAATTTATTGGGGATGATCTATTGAAAAAAAAATCATAAAATCAACTAATACTAATAAAATTTATAATAAGACAGAGAGCCAAGCAAGATTGAGTTTGCATTAAACCAGAGGCTTAGCTGGACTTGGTTTCTAAAATCAAACCATTCTCCTAAATATAATTGGGCGTACTGGGTTACTAAATTAATTGGATACACATAATCTGTATATGTTATTTAAAATCTTTTTTTTTAACAATGATATAGGCACGTGAGCTATATTGGAACCCGAACTTCTACTGTCAAAATTGGTGCTACCTCTCCGCATCCAATATGAAATGCACAGTTAAATTAATTTAAATTTATCCTAACCGTTGTCTCCAACTCCACAAAATCACTTTCTCATTCTCTCATCTGACTCTTCTTTTTTATAACACACGTGACTCTTCTTATTTCTAATGTTTTTGCTTCTTCTTTTTATACCATCTAATGGTTTCATCAGTTTTTCATTTTCTCACTTCTCTTTGCTGTTTTATATACACACATACATATATCATCTAATTGCTTCATGAATGAATGATATGAATTTTTTTTTTTGGTCAAGAATGATATGAAATTAGACTTTAAATGCTATTAAACTTTTTGACCCAAAATGTGCTATGAATTGATTGCATATTACATCGGTTTTGCGCTGGACGCAGTGGGATAGCACCAATTTTGATAGCAAAGAGTCAGGTTCCGAGCTGTTGTACTTAAATAAGAGAAATAAGATCATTACCGCGATTAAGGACACGTGAGTTTTGATAAGCACAAACATTTTGATAAACATGTCACCTTCAAATTGTTATCAATTTTGTTTGCAAAAAACAAAATTGTTATTAATTTTGTTAAATTGTATGTGGAGGTATTCATGAAAAATTTAGGTTCTTCTTACATGGATTGTAAACAGTTGTATAGATGTCCAGCAATAATCATCATCATCTTTGAAATGTTACTTTAATCTTTTTTTCCCAATTTTTATTGAGTTTCTGAATCAAAAGATAAAAAGCATATAACTCTGCATAAAAAGTTATAATTTACAATTGATTATGTATTATCACATTTTTATTTGAATAGAAAATATGCTTTTTCATATATTTTAACTAAAAAACTAACGTTAAGAAATAACAAATACATAGGTCCCAGTTTGGATAATATATTTCAAAGGCCAAAACCATCGTTTTATGAAAGTTTGTCCAAGTGCTCTTACAAATATCAAAATTCATTATGAACTTAAAATCATGATTTTTTTTAAGAATATCTAAATACCCATTAAAATGTATCCCTTTATCGTCGTGTAAACAAGAATGAAATTGAAAAGTCTTAACAAATAGTCTACAATCAAGTAACCATATAATAAAAAAGAGTGGCACTTCAAGGTAAGAAGCACTTGAGTCAAAGATAAAACTAGTTAAACTTGGTAGCATTCTGGTTCAAAATATATATGCTATAAAACCTATAACAAGTCAAATACTTCGTGTGTAATAGGAACTGAACTCTTAACATTTTTCCTGATTAAAAAAAGAACATTAATAGTAATCATTGCCATCACCAAAAGATTTGTTAAACTAATGATCCTCATTCCTAGCCTGGTCCTCGATTAGTCCATAGAGTTCTTCTGGAGTCTTGGCCAAAAAAGAGCCACCTGCTGCTACTCTTACCCTGAGTTTAGTCATCAATAATAGTCCTGAATAAAAAGTTTCTAATATCACCGAATCTGACACATCGTGATGGGGACATCTTCTCAATAAATCTTTAAATCGATCCCACACTTCATATAGTGTCTCGTTATCACCTTGTGAAAAATTCAAAACCTCAGCCCTTATATTCAGAGTCTTTGCAACAGGATAATACTTGAATAGAAACTGGTTTGCCATATCCTTCCAAGTTCTGATGCTACTAGCAGCAAGATTGTGCAGCCACCTCTTAACATTGCCCTTCAAAGAGAATGGGAAAAGCCTCAAGTACACAGCATCATCAGAAGCACCATTGATCTTGAATGTGGCACAAAGTTCAAGGAAATCCACGATGTAAGCGTATGGATCCTCATGTGGATGGCCTCCGAATTGATATGAGGTTTTGATCATCATGATTATAGTTGGATTTATTTCAAAACTACTGGCATTGACAGGAGGTAGCATTATACTTGAATCTAGCAAATCAATGGAGGGCCCATAATCATTTAGGGTTTTTTCATCTTCTAAAGGAACATTCCGCTGAATCTCAATCTCTTCTGTTTCATTGTCCTCTAGAATATAGGCTATACCTCTCTTCTTGTAAATAATGCGACTCTTACAATTACTGGCTGATAAAGTAATAGCTCAATGTGCCCAGCCCTGCACAAAATAACAATTTGACAATAAAAAAAAATGAATGTAAAAATCTCTGGCAGAAGCATTGAGCATAAATAATTGATTCTTGACACAGTAAATTGCAAAAAATAAATGGTCACATAAACCACTAGTCAAGCATAAATAAGGAGCATGAGGTAACCCATAAAAGAACCAGTATATAGCTAAAAAGTTTAGAAAAGCATATTGAGTTGTGATTAATTAACCAGCAATGCAGTATAACGATCAATATCAAAACTTCAAGAACAAGCTAGTACATGATAGAGGTCTTCAGGCCAAAATAATAAAGATGTTTATCTACCAAATGTTAGCAAATAACACTCGGATCTGTTGCCAGAATTTTACACAACACGAAGTAAGTCCTCATCCCATAGAAGGGGGGAAACAAGAAATAGAGGAATAGAGTACTACATACAACTTATTGAACACTAAAACCATAGAAATTCACACAAAATAGTACACATAGAGGCCAGCATTGTCACCAAACTCACTTGAAATTGCGCAATATGAATATATGAACAAGGCCTAGATATTTGTAATTTTTCCATCTCAAGATGAATCCTAAAAATTTGCAATAGAAAATAGAGCTAGATTTGATCGTAAGAATTCCTAAAAAATTGTCAAAGTCAGCACACCTCATATTAAACAACCAGTCATGACTGCCTTGCATACAAAGAATGACCCTGACCTTGTTGTTCTTAGTTCTGGATCACACAAACATCAATTAAACGCATAAAAAAGGGCATAAAATAAATTAGAGATAAGACTCAGCAGTGAAATAGCAACAACATTACTCCAGGAAACGTTGAATGACACCCAACTACAACAAATAGTGTTGCGCATAAAAGAAATAGTGCAATCAAAATAGAAGAAGAACAATCAACAGGAGAATCATTATTGCACAAGAATTCGCGCGCCCGCACTATAGCGCATAGATATGCAACGTTGTTTCCAAGCGATTACCTCTTCTTGCTCAACTTCCACAGCAGAATGATTTCAGCACTCAAACAAGCTGCCGGTTTTTGGGAAGTGGCTTGCGTTCGGAGTAATTTTGCGCGAGGGCACATACCGTGGCCCACAAGTTGTGTCTGAAGAATAAGAATTAATTACATTGGTTCGCTCCTCCTTATAAGAAAAAATTAATTACCCGATATTTAGGGTTTCCTTTATCCTTTTAATTAAAATAAGTTTTAATACTCTCCAAATTTTTTTTAATCTGCCAACACATTACCTGCTTTCCTTTTTTAATCATTTAATATTTAAGATGAGGTAAATTTTTATAGAGTAATCATATAAAATATAAAAAATTACAAGCAAATATAATTTAAAAATTAAACTCCACACATTTTTATCAAATTTATTGTTTTATCAAAATTAAATTTGCAGAAAACTGATTTGAAAATGGTAAGCTTAAAAACACCGGGTCCATAGCGAACAATATATTGGGCCGGTTACATCTAAAGCCCACAGTCTACATCATCATAAACTTAGCCCCGAGGGGGAAAAAAATCTATAAAACCTTTTATCGGTATTATAAAAAATAAAAACTTTTATCGACTTTATCAAAAAAAAACTTTTATCAATATTTTCATGAGAAGTAAACATTGCTTATTCACATCCCATTTGGTGTAGGGGAACATTTTTTTTTTATGAAAGTGAAATTAAAAAAAGAAATAAAAATGGAAGTGAGAGTGGAAGTAAAATAATAAATATATTTTTTATGGTGATAGAAGTGAGACAAAAATTTTATTTAAGCGAGAAAGATGGAATTGAATTCTTATAGAATATGATAAAAGTGAGTTCCATAGTTTTTTGTGAAATTGGATTCTTGCATGCCAAATAAGCAAGCTTTAAAATTTCACTTCCACTTTCCAATTCTAACATACCAAATGAGGCATAAATGATTGAATTGTTGTGATAAACTCCCCCTTGTTTGGTTAGAATGGTACTCATAAATCTTTCTTTTTTCACGTTGAGTATTTAGTATTTTAAACACATTTCAAATCAAGTTGAAAAGACTTTAACGAGATTTAAATTAATTCAAATCGAGCTAAATTAAGTTCTTTTTAGATAGAAGTTCTATCATGAATAATGCATTTTTAGATCTTAAAATTCAAAATATCTAATTAAACTCGCATAACTCCTTTATCCACTAAATCGAATGTAAGAGAAGATGAGGGTACTAATGAACTCTAAACAATGGGTGGAAGTGTTGACAAGTTTCTCTGCTCATTTTTGGGGGCAAAAAAAAAAAATTCTCTTAACATTATTTTTATTTAATAAAACACGATTTTTTGTTCAAAAAATTTAAGTGAAAAAAAAGGTCACTTTTATGCACCATAAGATGTTGATATTTCTTCAATATACAATTATCAAATGTCTACAGCTATATGTATGTTCAAGTATTAACTATTGAACCTAAATGAACCTTAAAATAGAGTCATTTGTGAATCTTTAATGAAGAAGTAAACTGGTAGTTTAAAACCTAGGGCTTATTGATGATGATGATGATGATATAATTCATGCACACTGCTGATGATATTAATGAAGTTGATCAATCCCTGGTGTATTATTAAATATATACGATATCATACAATAATAAATAATAATTACTAATTTAAGAACACTCCTTCACACGTTAAAATAAATAAATAAAATGCGTGGGTTCATTCTTGCATGCGCACGTACGGCACGGAAACCAGCAAAAAGCACACATACTTTTGTCTATTATCTTTTGAAATTTGAAGAACTCGAAAATGCATTCTTGGAGACCAATAAAGTCTAAAGTTAGAAGTTAGAAACTTATTATTCTACCACGTATTTGACCCAATTAACCACTAAAAGGTAATCACGAAAATATTTTTTATTTAAAAAAAACTGTTTTTTATTTGCCAAAAAAATAACAATTTATTTAAGTAGGTATTTAGAATTTAATTACTTTTAAAATTATTCTCATTTTTAAAAAATAAAAATATTTTAAAATTGTTTTTATTTTATTTTTATTATTTTCAAGACACATTATATTTAATTATTATAAATTACAGTGAGCTTGATTAATTGTTATTATAAGCCACCATCATTGTCACCAACCATCATGCAAAAAGAACTAACAATTTGGAGCAACGTGCTCCTTACACATGTCAATCTCCACATTGAACACTTGCATTAAACATGGCACGCTGTACAAATTGGATGGATGGATTAAAAAGACTGATTCTTATATATAGGTAATATGTTCTTTACTTTCTAGTAGCAAAATTATATGTGTTGATAATGGCAATTGAGAATAATATCTGAAAAGATTGCTACTGAAGCAAAATCATCTTCAATGCCTAAGGCTATCCAAAAAACATGTACAAAAACAATATAATGAAAGAAAAACTTACAAAACGGTGGCAAATTGTCATTCAAACAAGAACTTGAAGTAATTCATATATGACAAATCAAAACCAGTGTCAAAATCATGTTTTTTCAGATCATCCAATATCACTTCATTAATGTAATCAATGTTAATCATACTGATTGCGTCAACCTAACTCAACAATTTATTCTGACCTTCATCCAATATCTTTATTAATGTAATCAATGTTAGTCATACTTATTGCATTAACCTAACTCAATGATTTATTCTGATCTTTTAACATAGCTGCATCAGTCACCTATAATGAATCATCGATTATATTAGGCCCTCATCAAATTTCTTCAAGTCTTCAATCTCAGCAGCCTAATTATTCACACTGCTAGAAAAACTGATTTTCATGATTAATGTTTCCATCACAGTATACCAAAATCCATCACTAAATTTAAATTCTATCATAAATACGGCATCATTATCCATGTGATGAATAAACATCTGTCACTAATTGAGTGACAAATTCAGCTCTATTTTAGAGACAAATCCTATCATCACAAAATTGAATATTGCTGTCACTATTTATACGTTTGTTCATCATTATTTTAGTGTCAAAAAAGCTCTTCATTGATTTTGGTCACATCCATCACTAACATATTGACATGTTTGTCACAATTTTTTTCACTGACCAGTGATAGAATTAGTCTATCACTATTTTGTTAATATGAATTATATAAATATAAAATTCTTGTAAAATATTAAATTATAAAATTATCATTATATATTGAAATAAAATAAAATTTAATCAAATCTATTAAGATAATATAATTTTTTGTCCATAAACTTTCTTTCAACTATCAATTTGGTCCGTTAGCTTTGATTTGGTATAATTCGATCCTGGTAATTAATTGAGTTAAATAATTATAGGAATGAGGTGTATTGAGTTATAAAATTATAAGAATTAAATTGTTTTGAATCAAGAAACTATGGAGAAGGAGTTGTTTCAATTCAAAGTTGACTGAATGAATTGATAATTGAGAACAAGCTTAATATCCAAAAGTTATATTTTATCAATTTATTATTATTCTCTACTTGAAACTTGTTATTATTATTTTTAAATTTTCCAGATTTGTGCAATATTTTACATGGTTAAATTTTATTTGTGTATCTTGCCAAAAAAAAAATATAACCTTATGAAATTGACAGAGAAGGCATGCATGACACATGAGTTGGGCACTGGGTGAAAGAAAGAAATTAAAGCCCCAAACACACGCACATGAATTGTTATGGTCTCGGCAAATACTCGTTAACTAATTTTCTCCTCTAGTTAAAAAATTAAATCTCATTAATATATATTACAAATATGGTAATCATCACACTTTTAAAAAAGTTCATGAATTATAATTTATAATCTTATAAATTAAATTACATCTCTTCTTTTTGAATGTATCTACTATCCCTTTTAGTTATTTTATTTTTATCTTTATTTTTGCAAATTATTATATTCCAATCCACTCTTTTTTAACAAGTAAACATGACCTTATACATATATATTACACCCACAGAGGAGTCATCAACCACAAGTTTAGCTTGCTTGGTTATATTGGGCACTATACTTACATGATACAGCTCATGAAACCAATGAATGTGAGTAATTCCTTTAATAAAAAAATTCTTGCAAGAACCCGGTATATCATGTCATCCATGTTTCATTTAATAAAAACATAATATTTAAATGATATTAAATATTAATTGATTCAGCTATTAATGATGGTAAAGAAAAAAAGACAAGAAATTAAATAGATGTTCTATTTTAAAAATAAAGTCAACATAATAAAAGTAATAACACATAGTAAGATTTTATTTCATTGAATTAGTTTAATTTTATTAGATATAGCATGGATGACGTGATGCATTAATTTCATATAAAAATTTCTCGTCTTTTAATATAATTTTTCAGTCTCTAAAATTTGAATTTCTGGCAAAAAAAAAGTCTATAAAATTTGAATATGCACTTATCAACGCCTGGTGCGTGTGTAGTGTAGGTAGATCTACATGTGAATGCATTGAAATATTATTAGATGCATTTAATTGAGTCTTGATTTCACTAAAGTCAACAAAGATAAACGTACATTTAATTTATCGCTTTTATGACACAGGATCCAAACTATGAATATTATAGCACCTCATAAATATGTATCAGGAGGTATATATATATATATATATCTCCGTGTTCGTTTCACAATTTACTGGAACATAGTAAAGATGGCTCGTGTATTTCTCTTCTCTTGCTTCATGCTCCTGATTTCTCTCATCTTTACGTCAGGTATAATATTCACATGTCCTTGTTAATCTTACAGTCAGGTTTCTTTGTGGCAATTAATATTCCTGCTTTTACAATATTCATATTCTAGTTAAATCATTTTTTGATAAAATTTTAGGAATGACATTTATCAATATTGTCAATATTTAATTGCTAATATTAAATGACTAAAAAATTACCTCTTTTAAAGTCAAGGACACACTTTCTTGTGAGGTTTTTATTAGGGGTCAATTTTCATGACAATAAATTTCTACTACAAGATGAAAAGATTATTTTCTTTTTAATTTAATGATAATATATATTGAAAAGAAGATTATCAAAAGGAATAGGAAAAATTAATCTTTCAATCTTTCAAATTTTAACTTACTTGTAACTCAGTTCTTTTACTATAACTTGCTGTGACTCAATCCCTCAACTATAACTCGCTGCGACTTAATCCCTCAACTTTTAATTCACTTATAACTCGGTCTTTATTTTTTAATTTTTTTAAAAAAATTCTTATTAAATAAAAGGGATAAAAAAATACTCATATATTATTTTAAATTACCCTCATCTTGCTCATT